AGTAGGGCGTCAGTTCTACCAGACCATGAAAAGTTGAGGGATGATGACTCTAAAACAAGTCCCACCAGCAACCCTCAAAGACATGACTTTTGGCATGAGGGAAAGAGGAGAAGGAGGGAGAAAGCAAAGACTCGGCGTGGCTGTGGACAGGGCAGTTGGGAATATTCTTCTCACAAATGTTCCGTTACTCCTTTTACGGGACAGGTCCCTCAGCCTGCCTCCGGCGGGCTGATAGAGGGGGAGCCGTATGACTACTCGGACTCAGACTCCAGCAGCTCAGAGGACTACCGTTACTACCAGCGGTCCTTCTGCGGGGCCTGTCATCACCCCTACGACTCCACAGACAGCCTCACCTCAGGGACCTCTGACAGCGAGGATGAGGACTTCTACCACTCAACACGTCCTGTCGTGAACTTTAAAGTCGACCTTAAACCAACCTTTGTCTGAACGGACTCCACATCCATTATTTATATATGGGTCAGTGATGTGATGCTCTTTTTGTTTTGTCTGAAACTTATTAAGTTATTTAGATATAGACTATAGTTTGGAATAATTGTAATGTTGATGTTTTTGAAAGAAGTCTTCACTTTTAAAAAAAAAACTTTTGCTGATAATTCACTCACCCCCATGTCATCTAAGATGTCCATGTCTTTCTTTCTTCCGTCGAAAAGAAATTAAGGTTTTTGATGAAAACATTCCAGGATTTTCTCCATATAAGGGACTTCAATGGGAACCAAACGGTTCAAGGTCCAAATGAGAGTTTCAGTGCAGCTTTAAAGGGCTTTAAACCACACCAGACGATGAATAAGGGTCTTATCTAGCAAAATGGTCATTTAAAAAATAAATGAAAAAGTTTAAGTTTTATAAGCACAAATGCTCGCCTTGCTCTGTTCTGTGATGAGCGTTTGTGACTCTCCTGTTCGAACTTGTTCATCTAAATCACGGGTGCCCAACCCTGCTCCTGCCGATCGACTGTCCTGCATAGTTTATCTCCAACCCTAATCAAACACACCTGAAGCAACCAATTAAGGTGTTTCACTTGAACATTAAAGGCAGGTGTGTTTAATTAGGGTTGGAGATGAACTGTGCAGGACAGTCGATCGGCAGGAGCAGGGTTGGGAACCCCTGATCTAAATGAAAAAAAAATCTTTTTTCGAGTCATGACTCGAATGGTCCTAGATAAGACCCTTATTCATCGTTTGGTGGCGTTTAAATCCCTTTGAAGCTGCAGTCAAACTCTCATTTGGACCTTGAACCGTTTGGTACCCAGTGAAGTCAATTATATGGAGAAAATTCTGCAATGTTTTCATCAAAAACCTTAATTTCTTTTCGACTGAAGAAAGAAAGACGTGGACATCTTGGATGACATGGGGGTGAGTAAATATTCAGCAAGAGTTTTTTTTATTTATTTTTTTTTAAAGAGAACTACTCCTTTAATGCTGCTAAGGCTGCATGTATTTTCTCAAAAATACAGTAAAACAGTAACATTGTTAAATATGATTACAATACATTGTTAAAAAAAATTCATAGGCATAGGAGTAATGATGCTGAAAATGTTGCTTTGCCACCAAACGAATAAAGACATTTTAAAATATATTAAAATAGAAAACAGTTATTGTAAATTGTAATATAATTATTCCAAACTTTTGACCAGTGTACATTAAAACATGCACTTAATGCAGACTTGAATACACATTTTTTAATTATTATTATTGACATGTTTATTTATAACTTAAAAACAAATGTTGGTATTTTTGATGGTGCTTAAAGTCAAAAATATCTCGGTTGTGTATAAAAAAAGTCTCATAATGGCTGAATTGTTGACAAAACTGTAATTAAGTAGTTGATTCTTATTGTTTCTTAACTAAATCATAAAAACATGAAATGTTTTGAAATGATTGACATCTTTAAGACTTGGCAATAGTTATACATGGTTAGTTCTTGTTTACAAATGTCAAATGGAATCGCTGAAAAATATTTTAATCAATGATTTCCAAGAAATCCAATTTTTTTAACATGTTTGAAAACTGTTCAAAGATGTGTACACATATTTTATTAATTTACTTGATGGTCAAACCACTTTTTTAAAAAGTTATTAGGCTCATAAAAGCTATATTATGAAATGGGGAACAAATGCACATAATGTACTGTGTCATAAAAGTAATGTTCATGCATATTCTCTGATTAGCATAACTAAATGAAAACGAGCCATTTTTTTTGTGAGCGCCAAGAGCCAATTCCTGTGTTTAAAAAAAGAGATTTGTTTACACTTATTTCTTTAAGACAGCTATTATATACGTATCTATACACCTTTTATACATTTCAACAATTCAAACAAAAAAAAATATAGGTTATGACTGATTCTTACAATCCTATTTACATACATTTGAATTTAGAAACATTGTGCAAAACCTAAAAGATATTAGATAAGGAATATGCAAATTTTGTCAAAAAAAGAATAAGAAACATGTAAACAATCAGCTGTGAAGTTAGCTTTTAGTGTGTTTTTTAAGTTGCTCTTACAGTTCAACAGGCTATCAATTAAATCTTTCCAATTGATAAATCTTTTTCATGCAATATTAAAAAGCTTTATTGTGTGCTGCATAAAACATTTGCTTTGAAAACACATTTTGTGAATACTGGTTTAAATGTAAGTCTCTTTCAGAATGCTTTATTTTTGGTGTGTTCCATTTTGTTTGATAGAAGATAATATGTTTACCAAGGCTGATATATATGTGTTTATCTCCTTATTTATCTAATTGAAACTTTAAGGAGCAGGAAATGTGACTGAAGAACTTGAGCTGCATCTTTTATTATTTGTCTAAACAGTGTTTTTTAAACCAATTATTTTATTGCATTTGTGTAAAAACTTAAGGATGTGTTTGTGTGTTTGTGTCCCTCTTGTAAACTCGTTTTCTCTATAAAACTAAATTTATTGAATCAGTCTTATCAATGAACATCTATACAAACAGTTAAGTCCAACCAACTTAGATGTTTAAGTCATCTCAACTTAAACTAGATCAAACTGACTTAGTTGAATCTTGTAAAACATAAAAAGTAGAATTAAAGCAATTAAAAAAAAATGTATTGATCATATAATTATTTCCAGTGTACATGAACATGATCACATATACTAAAAGACCGTGTAAGGGATGAGATGTGTGCTTATCTTTGTGATTGTACATCATGATGTGTGCAAATCTGTGCATGTGTGCAAATATGCATACACAATTGCCCCAGGAAGAATTTGCATTAAGGCAAAAGGGAAAATCGCAACTTGCATCACTTGTTCTATTGCAGATAGGGCTATTTGTGAAACATCATTGTAAAATGTGCTCAAAGCAACTAAATCACTTTGCAGAAAAGAGTAGAAAAGAAGCACACATTGTGAAATATTCTGCATAACACACAGGTTTTACAGTACGCTGGTTACAAATGGAGCATGCACTGTAGATCTGAACCACAATAATGTTGATGGCGGGGTAAAGGAGAATCTGCCCGTCTACGAAATGTAAATAAGCAATTATGTTCTATGTTATGTAAGCCCACTGCAGGAATGTGCAAACATTTTAGCTGAAACATGTCTATGTTATGTACACCATGCCTGCATTTGGATATTTATACTTCTCTGCTAGTTGGAAAAAGTGGTTTGTGAGCAGATTGTCTGAAAACTTTACTAATGCGTTTAAAAGCAGTGCGATTCAAAAAGTAAAAATGTATATTTAAAAAGGTCTTTCAGGTTTGTGGAATTGCACACACACAATAGCCATGAGCTGAACACAAATCACAGCATTTGATGACTAGATTTATAGAACTACATTCACTTTTTAACAAGTGTTATCTCAACATTGCATGTCTTTCAAAAACATTAAATGTATAAATTGCTGTCATTTTATATTCACACAAAATGCAGGGATTCAACATCAGTTTTTTTTATTATATATATATATATATATATATATATATATATATATATATATATATATTTTTTTTTTTTTTAAATGTAAAATTGTATGATTTAATTACTTATTGGTTTTCATTAAACACAGTTCCACCATGAATTACATACTTAAATCAGAAATGTTGCCTTGGAACGTACTGAAATAAAATAAGTAGTAAAATGATTAAAACTTAAATAAATTTAAGCTAAAATATTTATAAATCTAATAAAAATCACAAAATTATTTAAACTTAAACTGAAAATACAATAATAAAATAAACACGATAATAGTAGCCTATAAAAACAACACTGATGAAAATATTTTGCTTATTTTTTTTTTTATTTAATTAAGATTTAAAAAACTTCATGCATCACAGAGTTAATAGTCAAAGTGAATTTCCTCATTTTGTCCTCAAATTGGCAGTTTAAGACAAGTGTTTTTTCACTGTTTTCCTTTGTTTAATCTAAAATTTTCCAATAAAAGATGCTTTTCTGAGTAAAGACTATTCATAATTATTTTATATCACTTTGCATTGTTTCTTTTCTAATTAGAAAAGCTTTGGCTTGTTTTAGTTGGTTACTAATTACATAAGTATTAAATATTTGTAGAAAAACAAGAGTGATTTATAATCACACTGTGCCCAATGGCAACGCATCAGGACAGAATAGATCACAGGAGCTCAGCTGACTAGCAACAGTGCAGCTTGGTTACTTTTGCGCCTTTGATGCTTTTTCAGGATTGGACTGTTTCCTTTCCTCGGTTACGCTTATTGGGTGATTTTACAATCAGTCTTCCCACGCGCCCGCCCACTTTCGACTTCCGCACGTCTGCAGAACTCTGACAGATTGGCAAATTACGCCATGTGTTCTGCGGACATAAGCATTCGATTGGCGGAGAAGCTCGCCTTTGCTCCGCCCATCTACAAAGAAAGGCGTTGGATTGGCTAGCTCAGACCTCCCCAGGCCTTCCTGCGCGTTCACAGTTTCCGATTCTTGACGCCGCGATGTGGCGTAACCCCGTCTGTGCTCCCGTTCAACTCCATTACCACCATTGCGCACATTACGTAGTTTACGTTAATCGGTCGGAGTGACAAAGAGAACGAGCACAGACCGACGGAGAAGAAATAAAAAAAGGAAATTTCTGAATTACCGTGGGGATTCTGATCACCGTTTCCTTTAGGAACTGCACTTTTTGGCTCGTTTCTTGAACTACCCGTGTGTATATTGGATTTCTTATTACGTCGTCCGTGTGCATGGAGTTAAGTGGGTCGGAACGGCCGAGGATAGCAGTCTTGAAATTGGGCAATTGGAAAATTCTCATTCGTTTCGTTCGTTGGTTAGAGCAAGGAAGCCGCCATGGCTGGTGCTACTGGATCGTTGAGTCTCCACCTCAGTATATGAAAAATACTGCATGGTGATGAAAAACCACTCCGGTTTATCCGCGATTTGAGGGTATATTAGGGAAAACGGACTATGTTCTTTGTGTAAATCTCTGTCCCAGCCAGAGAAAGAGAGAGAGAGACGAGGATCGGTGGGGTTCGAGGGAAACTGGGAAAAGGCCAATTTCATGAGCACCTTCATTCATGAGCGAATTCATCCGAGGTTTCATCACGGAAGATAATAGTAACGGTCAAAGAAAAAACGATCCGGTGGAAAATGTTCTGAAAGCGAGACGGTTGAGAGCTCACTGAAGAAAAATCATAGCGAAGGAACCCCGGACAGTCGAGAGTGGCTTTCGCCCATTTTTCCTCATTATTTAAGTAGGAAATAAACTGGTTCCAGTGTGTCGAAACGGATTCGTTCAAAACAAACAAGCGTATTTTACTCTGAGAGACGCGTGGGATTTCGGATTGGAAAATGTCCGGTCGGCCTAGAACCACCTCCTTCGCCGAGAGCTGCAAGCCCGTGCCGCAGCCCTCGGCTTTCGGCAGCATGAAAGTCAGCAGTAAGTATCATTTTCGGACACCGGTGAATCTGCTTTTAGTGCTTTGGTCGAGGGTTCTCGTGCTGTTGACCGTACTTGTTCGCTTTAATAACCGAGAATGGCGCATCTGTGCATAGTCAGGCACATGAACTGAGATTTAAGTGCCTTCAAGTGTCACCTTTGGGTGAAATATGACGTGCCCCATTTTAAGTCTGCCAGAGTGCTTTATTCCACAGCTGAACATAAACCACCAGGGCCCTGTCATGGGTTACATGGGCATGACTGGCACTGATTCAGTGCAGGTGGGTGGCGAGTGAACTCTTTCTGTGCGTTTTATTGTAAGGAAGGTCTTGACATTACAGGAGACTGAATCAGTGCTGATTCAGCCTGAAGATTAACACATCAATAGTAGTACTACTATTGTACTATAGTAGTACTCTATATCCTAGTACCTAACGTTAGTAGTACTAGGCTATAGTTTATATGTAATGACTAATGAATCTAATGACTAGTTTCTTTTACAAGTGTATCTATTCAATTCGATTTTTATTACATAGGCTACTAGTACTTGTGCCTTTGTGTTCTTTGTAAATAATTGTAAATGTTGTCGTTGAATCTGTGGTTCAATATTAAATTTGCCTCCGACTACTGTGTAATTCCAGTTGTTTCTGGCACCCAGTTTTATTGCTACGTGTTATACTTGTAGTATGAGACTAGTAACTATACCAGATGTTGTGATATGTAATGACTAGTCAGAATTGCTGCTTTATAGTTGGATTTTAATATGTTACTAGTAGCATTGAAGTAACCTACAAGTAAAATAAAACAAATTCTAATATCTATTTAAATTTGTATTATAAAGATACTGGATTTAAATAGTTACAAGGAACTAAAAATAGGCGCTGCTGCTTAATTGGGGTATTGGCAATTTGATCAGAATCATATATAACAATATCATATGACTTATTTTATTTTACAATAACAATATATAACACAATATAATTTTTTAGTGTGTGCTTGAAAGGTCTTTATAACTGAGTAAACAGTCCGTAATCAAATAAGAACAAAGAAACTAATTTCGAGCAATAGGACAAGAGTAGCGATTATTAATGCAATGATCCAATATATTGACATGTATATGATTTTCCTATTTAAGTTTTACGACTATTTAAGATACTGACTGGGTTTACATGAATAGGGCTTTGGCAGTGGCACCGTGTTGCATTCTGGGATGTGGCGGCCATGTTGATAGCTTTGCGAACGTAAACGTACAGTAAGTTAAATGAGGAAAAGCAGCAGAGTTGGGAGAAAGAAAATAAAAAAAATATGTTAAAATCCCTAAAAGGATGTGTAATTTATCAGGATACATTAAATAGGGAAGCCAGGGACTGGTATATGTGGACAAAATCTGCACTTTTAATGGTTTTAAGTTACCGAATTACACAAAATAGCATTTATTTTGTGTAATTCGGAGCAGGAACTGAATTGAATTCTCTTTCGCAGCTTATTGCGCTTGACTGTTTATAATGGCAAAAAACTGGCAAGGCTTAAAAACCCATACAAATTCTACACTTTCATAACGACGCAACACTGCTATTTCATGTGAACGTAACCGCTATAGAGACTATAATCGTTACCCATTGACACATTTCTAATTTATCATGTCTACCAATATTTTTCCCACCCCTAATATGTAATATGTAGTTAATAGTGAATCTGAAATAGGTTCTAGCAACAAATTAAATACTTAATAGTCGTAAGTAAATCGTAGAAAAGTGAATCGTTATAAAAATTGGCTTTAATTTGGGATAGTCACAAGTACCAAAAAAAGAACAAAAGAATATGCACCAGTTACTAACTGAATACATATTATTAGCTAATTGTAATAAGTAGTGACTAGTTACTAATGAAATGGGTAAACAAGTTACTAGTCATTATTTGACTACTTTCTAGTAATTAAATAATACTGGTAACAAGTTAGTTTAAAAGAGTAAGCTAAGTGCGGTACACATCTTATTCTGTGACCCTTAGCTTTTTGAAAATAAAACTCAGAAAGGGTTGTGGGACCTTCTGATCATGTGGCCATTTAGACACAACTTTGTAACAAACTCAATGTCGTGTTTGTTAATCATAATAATGTTTTTATAGAGTATTTATTTAGCTTTTCAGACCTAGCTCATTTCCATTACCCTCTTTGCTTTAACTTTATATTGTTTATATATTCGTTTGTTTCTATAAACTAACAGTAATTACATGAAATGCTTTGATAAAAACATAAAGTGTCCAGATTGACAGCACTGGAGGTTTTCTTTTTGAATCTGGTTTGAATTAAGTAGTAGTTTATCCTACCACCTAAACTACACTCTTGACCCAGAAATATTCACTAGCAGGAATCATCAGTAACCTATAAATAGCTAATTTTAGTTTACCTCAACACAACAGCCATTGGAACCTTACTATGATGGATGCTGTTGTTGTGGTACTACAGCTGTGCCATCTGTTTTCAGACAGATGGGTTTTTGTCCCCTCTTCTGTCATATTAATAGAGATAGGAATGTGTCCATTCAGACTTGTTCTCTCAGACTTCATAGCTATATGTGCAGCCTAATGTTTTCTTATTTTGTTCATTCACACTGTGACAATAGTGAGTTATTTTGGGATATAATGTAGTATTGTTCATTTAAGTCAAAATAAGGTCAAAATAGACCCTATTCACTTTCTAATTTTGAAAAGAGTCATTTGATAAATATTATTCCAGTTGTCTAGGCAATCTTTTTATCAAAATCAAATTATGTGCGTTGCCAGTAAAACGTCTTTACCTCTCGGCTGACGTCCCTCTTTTTTTAACTCCTACCCTCAAACCACTTGGCTTTTTTCTAGTATGTAGCTCTTACTTTTCCTGATCTAATAAATTTTTGATGGATAAAATCAATTTCCGTTCTATATATATACATTTTTTGGGTAGGGGGTGAAGAAAATCCTGTTTCACTTCAGAAAATTAAACTGAATTTTTCGCTGAATTTAATTAGGCTATTTATTAGGCTATTTTAAAGATTCCTGATTTTGTTTTGGATGTCTCCTACAATAGGTTTACATGCAACCAAGGTCAACAAACTACTCTAATTTTCTCATAATATACATTGCACATCACCTTGTTTCTCAAAGAGTCTGAAAACTGTTAATTCGAAAATTCAATCTCTCCAAACACCTCCTTTCTGACAGTCTACTCTGCTCTGATTGGTCAGATGGCCCAGTCTGTTGTGATTGGTCTACTCTGCTCTGATTGGTCAAATGGCCCAGTCTGTTGTGATTGATCTACTTTGCTCTGATTGGTCAGATGGCCCAGTCTGTTGTGATTGGTCTACTCTTCTCTGATTGGTCAGATGGCCCAGTCTGTTGTGATTGGTCTACTTTGCTCTGATTGGTCAGATGGCATTGGTCTACCGCTACAACACGAGTCAGAAACAAAACCTATTACCATATCTGAATATCCGCAGCGCTTGTTGCACAATAATACAAACAGCAGCGATGGCATACTTTTTTCCATATCTATTTCAGCGCTAATCCTCATCCTTTTGAAATGCATTTTCAGGGCTGGTCAAAGTAGACATTGTTTCGCCATCAACCAATGAAGACCATAGGCTGGCATTATGCTAATGTGTTACATTATTACATAAGTATGTAACAGGAAGTTTTTGACTTCTTGATCTTTTTAACATTGCACACCTACAACATTCACAAAAATCTATTTCACACTGCATGAATATATTAAAAAAAAGCATAAAAAGCACTTTTCATTCTCATTTTGTGCTGCACATGTCAAACATCATCTAAGATCTTCAGGATATTCAAGAAGATCTTTAAGATCTTCATTGTTCTTCATTTACCCAGTTGATCAGATTTGTGCAGTTCAATAAACTGAGCTGATTTTTTTGCTGTCCAAAGCTTCGTCCAGCAGCAAAACGCTGTGTCTTTCTCTCTCTGTGGATTTGGTAAGGAGGGTGTCACCTTTCACCCCGCTCCATTATCATCTGCCTCTGTCAGCTTCTGTGGATGTGTCTGTGGAAGCTTTCCTGCTCCCTCAGCACAACTCCTTGTATCTTTGCATGTGTACATCCATAATCCATACCTTCTTTTGTAATCACAAGTATCAACAGTAAGGGCTTTACTGCTTCATTTTTTTCTTAAACAAATTTGCCAATTTTTTTAGCATGTATAAATGATTTAAGAGACAAATTGGCTTAAACATTCTGGCCCATGTCTTATACGCATTAGGTTGGTCAATTTTTTAGTATTGGCATAAAATAACTGTTTTTTTTTTTCTGTAGGTGGCACTTTGTATCGGTATTTCATGATTATTAGCAGAATGTGATAAGAAAAGGCACACGTGGAGCTTGGACATGATTGAAATTGGAGTTGATTTAATATACATCCTATTTCTGGCTTGTTTACAGTTAAACTTTCTGAATTTTGGACAAGCATGAGAATGACCCTTGTCTTATCACCTGCATAAGATTAACAAATGAAAAAGGCTGTGTGTTGGTTATTTAAAAATTTGATATGCCTATTTATGTCCCTACTTCCTGTTTTAAAAGGAAATAGGATAGCACTGTAAAGATGGGGCCTGTAATCAGAAGAATTATAACCCTTACATTTAGGTTGCGTGATGAACGTGAAAAAATGTGGACTTACTAATCGAATAGAAATCCTATATTAGGTTTTCCACAATCAGATGTTTACGACAAAGACTTGACATTTTAAAAAGAGATCAATTTAACTTTCAATTAAGGTACTGAACTATACCTTGTTCTTTAGACCATTCACTTAACCTTGCGTGACCACTCATATTTGTTTTTTGACATTTGCACTGTAAAGCTTCCCCACATCATACTTGGTAGAGATAAGACCGTATGGCACAGTTACTTCCTGTTGATGGTTTCATGAGATTGAGAGACAAGATATCCTGTGATGTGTGAGACAAAGGGTAGGTTAATCATATAAACTGTGAGAACTGTGGCTTC